TTTCTGGGCTTAGGGCTCTTTAGGGCTTAGGGCTTAGGGTTTAGGGTTGAATGTTTAGACTACAGAATTGATTTTTTTGTTTTTTTTTTTTTGGGGGGGGGTTAGGTACCTGGGGTTGCAGGGCCCTAGGACTGTCAGGTTCCTTTAAGCCCTAAACCCTAAACCCTAAACGCTAAACCCTAAGCCCCCACGATTGTTTGGTTGATACCTCTCCTAGCGCCAGCGAAAACACTTGCATGCCCACAACTCCATTGACAGACCCGCGCCTTCAACTAACAAACCGCAAATCCGCAGAAAACAATTTGGCAGCAGTCATGCTTCCAAACCTACGCCCCCATGTGAACCCTAAATTCCTAAACCCTAAACCCCAAACCCTAAACCCTAAATTCCTAACCCCCCAAACCCTGAAGCGAAGGATGCCGCAGCCTCGTGACCCTCGTGATACTCGAGAGCCCAAGCCGAAGAGCATATCAGCCTGGGGCTGGTCAAGACACTTGACTTGGGTTTAGGGATTAGGGTTTAGGGTTTGGGGTTTAGGGTTTAGGGTTTAAGGTTTTGGATGTAGGGTTTAGGGTTTAGGGTTTAGGGTTTAGGGTTTAGGGTTTAGGGTTTAGGGCTTAGGGTTTTGGGTGTAGGGTTTAGGGTTTAGGGTTTTGGGTGTAGGGTTTAGGGGGCCTGGTTCTAAGAAACTCACCAGCAACGGAAGTGCCCTGATGTAGCACAACCGCCACGTGCTGAGAGCGGCGCGTGGGGAGATCGGGTTTAGGGCTTGTGGGAACTTAAACCGTATAAACCCTGAACCCTGAACCCTGAACCCTACACACCCTACACACCCTACACACCCTACACACCCTACACACCCTACACACCCTACACACCCTACACACCCTACACACCCTACACACCCTACACACCCTACACACCCTACACACCCTACACACCCTACATAAACCCTAAACCATAAACCCTAAACCATAAACCCTAAACCCTAAACCCTAAACCCTAAACCCTAAACCCTAAACCCTAAACCGGGCTTCGGGTTGCTGCAACCGGGCGGCCCGAGGCGAAGCAACAGCCGCCCTAGGAGCAGCCCGCCTCCAGGAGAGCCCAAGTCTGAAGTGCGGTAGCTGTTCAAGAGGGTTTTAGGGTTTAGGGTTTAGGGTTTAGGGTTTAGGGTTAGGGGTTTAGGGTTTGGGGTTTAGGGTTCGGGGTTTAGGGCTGGCAGGGTGCTGGGTGTAGGGTGTAGGGTAGGGTTTGGGGTGGCTGTAGGGTGTAGGGTTTGGGATATCGGGTGTAGGGGTTAGGGTTTATAGGGTAGAGGGTAAAGGGTGTAGGGTTTGCAGGCTTGGGGCGTAGGGTGTGGGGTTTAGGGTTTGTAGGGTTTAGGGTCTAGAGGGTTTATAGGGGCTACAATAGGGTTTAGGGTTTAGGGCTCAGGGCCGTTTACAGGGTTTTAAGAGTTTAGGGTCTTTAGGGCTTTGGGTTTATAGGGCTCAGGGTTTGTAGGGATGGGGTTTAGGGCTGATGTGTCTTAGGGTTTAGGCTTTACATACCGGTTGACTGAAAGGAACCACAAGATCGGTTCCCTTCAGGGTTTAGGGTTTAAGGTTTAGGGTTTAGGGTTTAGGGTTTAGGGTTTAGTGTCCTCTTATCCCATGGTCCATCCCTTTGCACTGAACCCCAAACCGGTTAAACCCTGCGCAGCCCTCCAATCGTAAGAAGCCAAAAAACCCTTAGTTTGTGGCTTAGGGTCGTCCCTCATGTGCAACTACTTAGGAAGCCTGCAAAAGCAAATGGTGTCACACGCTCTTGAGGTTTAGGGTTTAGGGTTTAGGGTTTACGTAGGGTTTAGGGTTTAGGGTTTAGGGTTTAGGGTTTAGGGTTCAGCAGCTCCGGATCGAGCACTTTTACGGTAGTGTTATATTTACGGCTTGGATATAACACCCACCCACCCAGAGAATCCCATAACATTAAGAAACCATATAAAGTATCTTCATACAAAAGTTCTTTTCAACGAAGACTACGGCTACAGAACAAATTCGTTCTTAAAAATCCGCATTGCGTCACGCAAAGATGAGCATTACAAGAAAAAGGGTTGGGGTTGGGGCGGTGTGGGGGGGGGGGGGGGGGGGGGGGGGGGGGGGGGGGGGGGGGGGGGGGGGGGGGGGGGGGGGGTGGGGGGGGGGGGGGGGGGGGGGGGGGGGGGGGGGGGGGGGGGGGGGGGGGGGGGGGGGGGGGGGGGGGGGGGGGGGGCCAGAAGAAATTACCAAGCCACCAAAAAACCTTCACGAAGAAAATTACCCTTAGCCCCCCCTTAGCCACGAAGAAGTTACGCTTAGCACGACCCTTAGCCCCTTAGCCACGAAGAAATTCCCCCTTAGCCACGAAGAAATTACCTTTAGCCACGAAGGAAATTACCCTTAGCCACGAAGGAAATTACCCTTAGCCACGAGAAACCTTAGCCACGAAGAAAAATTACCCTTAGCCACGAAGAAATGACCCTTAGCACCCAGGAAATGGCCCTTAGCGACCAGGAAATGGCCCTTAGCGACGAAGAAATGGCCCTTAGCGAAGAAATTAGCCACGAAGAAATGACCCTTAGCCACGAAGAAATGACCTTAGCCACGGAAGGACTTATAGGGTTTTAAAATAATAAGAGAGAGGGGGTTTAGGGTTTAGGGTTTAGGGTTTAGGTTTAGGGTTAGGGTTTAGGGTTTAGGGTTTAGGGTTTCGGGTTTAGGGTTAGGGTTTAGGGTAGGGTTAGAGTTTTAGGGTCTTAAGTTTAAGGTTTAAGGTTTAGGGTGAACCCTCAACTGGTCCGAGCTCCGCTCCGGCGCTCCCGCAGCGTCGGCGCATGAAACACCTGACGGTTGCAAGAAACCCAAGCGAGCAGCTGCACATGGGGGGGGGGGGGGGGGGGGGGGCCTAAACCCTAAACCCTAAACCTAATCCCTAAGCCCTAAGCCCTAAACCCTAAACGGGTCCTTGTGAACTACAGGCCCAACAAGCACAAAGCAAAGCCGTCCAAGCAGAGCCAAGAAAGCATGTCCCCGCTACGTGGTAGGAATGGGGGCAAGAGGCGCGGCTTCTTAGTAGGGTTTAGGGTTTAGGGCTTAGGGCTTAGGGATTAGGGCTTAGGGCTTAGGGCTTAGGGTTTAGGGAACTATATAGGTAACTACCCTGTGTGATCTTTTAAAGGGGATATATCGGGAGATATAGGGTACCTAGCTCCCAAAATCCCTGCGAAGAGAACCAGCAAGTTGCTGTTGACGTTCACTTTCACTTGACACAGTGTTCGGGGGAACTAAACGGTGAACCCTAAACCCTAAACCCCAAACCCTAAACCTCTCTTTCATACATAATGTAAATGTTGGGGGAGTTGCTGGGCAAGGTCAGGGGGCAAGGTCATGTTTTACTGGGCAAGGTCATTTTTTTCCTGGGCAAGGTCATCTGTTTACTGGGCAAGTTCATTTTTCTGGGCAAGGTCGTTCCATAAGGGAAGTATGTTCTTAATGTTGTGGGATTCTTTGGGCGGGTGGGTATTTTTCTGGAGTAGTTTGTTGACTAGTGAATGCTTGGACTTGAGATGCTGAACCCTAAACCCTAAATCCTAAACCCTAAACCCTAAACCCTAAACCCTAAACCCTAAACCCTAAACCCTAAACCCTAAAACCTAAACCCAAACCCCTAAACCCTAAACCCCTAAACCCTAAACCCTAAAGGGCCTAGCATTTGCAGACCACGCGCAGGCGGGCCAACGGGATGTCTGTGACCCAGCACTCCGTGAGCCAGGAGCGGGCGTGAACCGCGGGGTAAACCGGACTACGCTGATTCAGGGGTTTAGGGTTCAGGGTTCCGGGTTTAGGGTTTATAGGGTTTACAGGATTTATAGGGTTTATAGGGTTTATAGGATCTATAGGGTTTATAGGGTTTATAGGGTTTGTAGGGTTTATAGGGTTTAGAGGCTCAGGGCTTAGGTAAGATGCAGGGCCTGCTCTTAGGTTCCAGGTTGAAGCCAGGGTCTGGCAGCTGCGGGCTTTGTGGGTCTTGGCTGCCACGGTGGGGTTTAGGGTTTAGGGTTTAGGGTTTAGGGTTTAGGGTTTAGGGTTTAGGGTTTAGGGTTTAGGGGGCCTATGGGTTTAGGGGTTCAGCAGGTTCAGCGAGTGCAGCCCTAAACCCTAGACCCTAGACCCTCAACCCTAAACCCTAAACCGAAAACCCTAAACCCTAAGGCGTTGTGGGGGGGCCCTCTAGCAGAGAGCAACAAGCAACCCCCTCCGCCTCCCCTGTAACATGAAACCCACCCCCCCCCCCCCCCCAAGAAGCCACTAACATTCAACATTGGGGAACATTTGCACTAAACCCGAAACCCGAAACCCGAAACCCCAAACCCTAAACCCCCAAACCCCCAACCCTGACCCCCAGAAGCTCAAAGCATTAGGGGTAGGGGGTTGGTATCTTAGGGGGTGGGGACTGCCGATGAGTCGTCAGGCACGAGCATTCTGATCGAGGTGGATTTGGGGCTTCGGCAAATGCTAGCATTCCAGCTAGCTAACCCAAGTCCAACCTGGTTTGTGGATTCAGGTCTATAGGGCTTAGACCCGACCTTAGCGTGTAGGGCTCCGGGGGTAGGGCACAACATGTTGGGAGTCATGCATGGTGCTGTCGTAGTGCCGTGTGGGATAAATGAATGAATAAATAAAGTAAATCAAAAAATAAATACATATGAATTTAAAAATTTTCATAAATAAATAAATAAATATATATATATATATATATATATACACTTCATGCGGAAAGGATGCCCTGTATACAGCAAGCGTCTCTCCATGGCACTTTTCCACGGTGCGCCCGACGTAGGCCCACGAATCCCACGAATCAGATCATGAGGGCCTCGGAGCCACGGCATCGCCTTAAGGTAGCGTGGCTCACCTCCGGAATCCGAAAGACAGCGCATACGACCTGGCCGAGATCCTCAGCTCCATCTGCTCGCTGCAGCCTTACCAAACCTTCCGGGGCGGGCGGCTGCGGCTTCTGCGCTCCTTCGGCTTTGGCGACCGCTTCATCTGCACCTTCCGCCCGGGCGAGGATCCGCGGCGGCACGGCGAGGGTGGCGAGCGCGGCAAGCGCCGCGAGCGAGACCGCGAGCGGCGCCGCGGCGAGCGGGACCGCGAGCGGGACCGGGATCGCGTTGCGCTGCGCTTGCGGCCCGCGTCCTGGCGTGGAGCTTTGCCCTTCGCAGGCTTTGCAGCTTGGCCCTTGGCAGGGCTCCGAGCCGCGCGCGCGTCCCGCACGTCCCGAACGTCGCGCGCATCCCGCGCATCCCGCGCATCCCGCGTGTCTCGGGTGTCCCGGGTGTCCCGGGTGTCCCGGGTGTCCCGGGTGTCTCGCACGTCCCCTCGCCCCCAGCCCCTGCCCCGGCGCCCAGACTCAGCAGAAGGGCTCCGGCCACGCCTCGCGGCTCGCGGGGATCGTCTGCGGCTGTCTCGGCGATCGGGAGGCCGGACTCTCTCAGGTGCCTTGGGCTCCGGGGTGTCCCGCCGCTCTCCTGGCACATGGTCCCCTAAACCCTAAACCCGACACCACAAAAGAAGCACAGCTCTTAAGCTCAGCTCATCTTGGAACGCCTTCACTTGTTAGCCTGTGGATTCTTTGTCAACACTTGTGGGATTGAATTGACGACCAGGAAACAAACTCTTCTAGGCTTCGTACAGGCTACGTACCGAACTCAGCGAAAAACGGCTCTCATGCTGTTCTCTAAACCCTAAACCCTAAACCCTAGACCTTAAACCCTAAACCCTAAACTGGCCGCCCTAAACCCTAAACCCTAAACCCTAAATACCCTAAACCCTAAACCCTAGACCAAGGAGATCATCCATGGGCCCTCCTTGCCGGTGAGCTGGACCCTTAAGGCCCCTGGACTGGCGCGCCCTTGGCGGGGACTGTTGGCATATGGACCTCGGCTCAGCTTAGGGTTTAGGGTAGGGTTTAGGGTTTAGGGTTTAGGGCTTAGGGCTTAGGGTTTAGGGTTTAGGGTTTAGGGTTTAGGGTTCAGGGTTTAGGGTTTAGGGTTTAGGGTTCAGGGTTCAGAGTTTAGGGTTGTCTTTCCCTGTTGGGCCCCCCCAAAGCCCACCGTGAGCCGGGTATCAACCCTATATAAACCCCCTATAAACCTAATTGCGCCGTGAACCCTAAACCCCAAGGTTAAGAAGACTAAATCCTGTAGCCTCAAGCCCCTGCAACTTGAAAGCTAGACAAGAAACTTGCTGGAAACTTTCTCCGAACCCGAACCCTGGATGATTCCAAAAAACCAAAGGGGTAGTTTTCTAAATTAGGTTCCCCTTTTGGGCCGCTATATATAGTGCGGCACCTTATAAACAAGGACCCCCCAAAAGGGACCTTAATTTAGAGAACAGTTCCTAAACCCTAAACCCTAAACCCTAAACCCTAAACCCTAAACCCTAAACCCTAAACCCTAAACCCCAGCGGGCCCCAGCGTCCCTCGCCTGGCCTCGAAGAGCAGTCGCTGGGCGGGCTTGGCGCCCTTGGCTCTCTGGAAGAATGCGGATTTTTGGGGCTTAGGGGGTTTGGGGTTTGGGGTTTAGGGTTTAGGGTTTAGGGAGGATAGGGTTTAGGGCATAGGGTATATTGCGCAGGCTCGAAACCATAAACCCCCCAACCCTAGACCCGAGAAGCCGAAAGCCTCAACCACCCAAACTTTTAATTTTGCGGCAGTAAAGAAAGCCTTGACCCCAAACCCTCAACCCCCCGAAACCCTCAACCCAAAACCCAAAACCCAAACCGCATGAACCCGAAACCCTAAACCCTAAACCCTAGACCCCAAACCCTAAACCCTAAACCCTTAACCCTAAACCCTAAACCCTAAACCCTACACCCCCCAAAAGGACCCCAGCCTGCGTGGCTTAGGCTGCGGGGAGTTGCTGAACTTCTCGCGGCGGGGCCTGGCTGCCTGAAGCAGGCGAAGAAGGAGGGTTTGGGGTTTAGGGTTTAGGGTTAAGGGTTTAGGGTTAAGGGTTTAGGGTTTAGGGTTTAGGGTTCCGGGTTATAGGGTTTATAGGTGCCAGAGCCACACTTCCGGTTTGGCGAACATGTGGAGAGAAAATGGGGGTATTGGGGTAAATGGTTTTGGTGTTGGGGTTTGGGCCTGGGGTCTAGGGGTTTGGATCTGGGGGGTCTGGGGTTTAGGGCTTGGGGCTTTGAGGGTTCTGGGGTTTGTGGTTTAGGGTTTTGGGGGTTTGGGATTTTGGGGTTTGGCTAGGCTTTCACTGGGGTTGGGAGGTTTGGGGCTGGGGTTATAGGGCTTCCCCCAGACGCTCCCTTGATGCATGCGGTCATTCTAACCTGAAATCCTACAGTCCAAACCCCAAGCAACCTCCGAACCCTAAAGTCTCAACAGGTTTGGGGTTTAGGGTCCTATGCCTACATACCCTAAACCCTCAAAACCGAAACCCCTGTGCCCGCAGCCTGCGCATCCTTTGGGTCAGGGGCACGCTGTGCCCGTGCCCTGACGGAGCGAGAGGCCCAACACCAGCCAGAAAATCAATTTGGGGTTTTGGACCCTACACTCTAAACCCTCAACCCTCAACCCTCAACCCTAAACCCTAAACCCTAGGGGGGTTAAGGGTTTGGGGGTGTAGGGGTTCGGGGCTTCGGGTTTAGGGCTTTGGGGGTGCCTTGGGGCTAAACCCTAGAAACTCTGAACCCCCTTGCAAACCCTGTTTACGGTTTAGGGTTTAGGGTTTAGGGTTTAGGGTTTAGGGTTTAGGGTTTAGGGTTTAGGGACCCCAAGCATAGATTGCAAACCCTAGAAAGCCTGCAAGCCCTGCGCCTTATGAAGCCTCACTAGGTTTGCCCAGCCCGGGAACCTAAGCTTCGAAAGGGCCCCCTTTTTTGGCCTAGGTTTAGGGTTTAGGGTTTAGGGTTTAGGGTTTAGGGTTTAGGGTTTAGGGTTTAGGGTTTAGGGTTTAGGGTTTAGGGTTTAGGGTTAGGGTTTAGGGTTTGGGGTTTGGGGTTTAGGGTTTAGGGTTTGCAAGCTTGGATGCACTGGACTGCGCCGCTGCCCATGGAGTTACCATCCAAGTCGTTTGCTTCGACCTCCCTCCTTTTCCACGAGTGGATTCTTGAGGTCTCTTTCCCATTTGAACTTGGCTGCCGCCTTCAGCTGATTCACCAAAATTCATCGATGCTGGCTGAGTGTTAACACTCAGTCAGACTCGATCAAGGAATCAAGTATCTAGTATCAAGGCGCCCCCCCAAAATGCACTGGAGTCACTGGGCTCAAATGAATTTCTCGCCGCTAGTGCCCCAGTGCCAGTTCACCTGAACCTGCAGGGTTTAGGGTTTAGGCTTTAGGGTTTAGGGTTTAGGGTTAACGGTTTAGGATTTAGAGTTTAGGGTTTAGGGTTTAGGGTAGCCCGAAACAAAAACTCAAATATCCCGCCACAAGAAGCCTGGGAGCCAGACCCCGCCCGTGCCGGCGCCGCTGCTGGCCGGTCGCGGACGTCCGCGGGCGCCGTCACCGGCGCTGGCAACACCTGTCACACAAGACCCTAAACCCTAAACCCTTTTGAAAGCCCCCAAACCCTTTTGAACTCATAAGCCTATAGCAGCATCAAAGCCCTCTGAACTCTCCTTCCCTTAAAAAACCTTTTTCAAACCCTACAAAAACCTTTTTGCAAACCTCTAAAAAATCCAACCTCAGATGCCGGGCTGTTCCCCGAGAGCCCAAGTACCGCTGAATTGAGGAATAGACGATAAGGTTTAGGGTTTAGGGCTTAGGGCTTAGGGTTTAGGGTTTAGGGTTTAGGGTTTCGGGTTGAGGGTTGAGGGTTTCAGCAACGATGAGGCACCCGTGGCAGGTTCCACACCGTGGTAGGACAGCCGTGCGCATGCCAATGGTGCCAGTCGGTGTCCGCGCGCCAGTGGCAATTGGAGTGCACGTGGACACCGACCAGCTCTAGCAGCCTCGCTATCAGTTCTTGGTGCTGGGCGCATGTCGCCTTTCTGCCGTGCCTTGGTCTGCTCAGCTAGGAGGCGGCATCGAGGATGTTCTGTTGCACCACCAGCCGCTCCTCGTGGCGAAGCAAAAGCTGTACTAGGAGGGGAAGCACCGCGTTCTCTCTCTGCCTGGGTTTAAGCTGATAGCAAGAACCCTGCAACAGGTACTCTCTGGCTTACCCGAACCTCTTAAACAAAACCCTATAAGCCCTGTAAGCGCTGTAGATCCTATAGACCCTATATAACCTATAAAGCCTATAAACCCCATAAGCCCAAAAACGCGAAAAACCCGTAAACCCTTAAACCCTATAAACCCTAAACAACCGAAAAGCCCTATAAAACCTATAAACCCTACGAATCCTACAAGCCCTGTAAACCCTGTAAACCCTGTACTCCCTGTAAACCCTGTAAACCCTGCAAACCCTGCAAACCCTGTCAACTCTATAAGCCCTGAAGCCTTAGCCCAGAATAAAACCTTAAACCGCAGCTCTTACCCTAAACCCTAAACCCTAAACCTAAACCCTAAACCTTAAACCGCAGCTCGAGACGTTGCCTTCTTTTCCTCCGCTTCTTCGACAGGTGCGGCTTCCGAAGCGACTGGCAACGTGACTTGTGGGTTTGCGGGTTTACGGGTTTAGGGTTTAGGGTTTAGGGTTTAGGGTTTAGGGTTTAGGGTTTAGCGCCACCAAAACCTTCCAAACTTGTGGCTCAAGGGGCTCAAGCCTCAAAGCAGAAAGTCGACCCCTGCCTCGGCGCTTCACCACTTTGCCTTGAGGCGACCAGCGAGAACTTGGGTATAGGGTTTAGGGTTTGGGGTTTAGGGTTTAGGGTTTAGGGTTTGGGGTTTAGGGTTTAGGGTTTAGGGTTTCGGGTTTAGGGTTTAGGGTTTAGGGTTTAGGGTTTAGGGTTTAGGGTTTAGGGTTAGGGTTTAGGGTTAGGGTTTACAGTCTAGATTCTCTGGGTTCAGGCTTCTGGGCAGAGACCTCAAGCACTAAACCCTAAACTCTAAACCTGCGAACCCTTAACCCTCAACCAGTAGACCCCACACCCTGAACCCCGAACGCTGACCCTCGGCGAAACTCCGCAAAGCACTGAAGCCGCCCAAGAACATGCAGAAATACCCAAAACCCTAAAACCCTAAAACCCTAAACCCTAAACCCTAAACCCTAAACCCTAAACCCTAAACCCGGAAACCATAACCACCTTAACGAAACCCTGAAAGCTACGGAGATGGAGAGTCATCCCAGGGTTCGGGCTTGAAGGCTTTAGGGTTTGGGCTTTAGGGTTTAGGGTTTAGGGTTTAGGGTTTAGGGTTTAGGGTTTAGGGTTTAGGGTTTAGGGTTTAGGGTTTAGGGTTTAGGGTTTAGGGTTTAGGGTTTAGGGTTTAGGGTTTAGGGTTTGGGCTTTAGGGTTTCGGGCTTTAGGGTTTAGGGTGAAGAGTTTAAGGGCTCAGGCTGTAAGGGATGAAGGGTTTCGGGTTCAGCGTTTCAGGGTTTAGGGTTTAGGGTTTACGGGTTAAGGGTTGGGACGGTTTAGGGTTTACGGGTTAAGGGTTGGGACCCTTATACTAGCAGTCCTTCATGGTATAGTACCCCGACTATACAACATTATGAAGGACTGCCAGTACATAGGGGGGGGGGGGGGGGGGGGGGCACATCCCCCAAGTTAAGGGGTTTTGGGTTTAGGGTTTGGTGTTTAGGGTTTAGGGTTTAGGGTTTAGGGTTAGGGTTTAGGGTTTAGGTTTTAGGGTTTAGGATTTGGTTTAGGGCTTGGGGAGCTGTGAGCCCCGGGCGAACTTTGCGCACGGCACCGCCGTCAGCGATCTTCGCTTCGCTCCTGAGGACAAATTGCCCAGTCTTGACTTCATGGGTTTGTAGGGTTGGTTTATAGGGTTTTTGAGGGTTTTTAGGGTTTACAGGGTTTATAGGGATAATAGGAAATATAGGGTTTACTGTACGTGTAGGGGTTTTAGTATTTGTAGGGTTTGTAGGGTTTGTAGGGATTGTAGGGATTGTAGGGCTTATAGGGTTTGTAGGGCTTATAGGGTTTAGAGGGGGGATAGGGTTTCGGGTTTATAGCCTTTATGGGGTTTAGGGGGGTTTAGAGGATTTATCGGGTTAGGAGGGTTTCTAGATTTCTGGGGTTGATTCGCTGTATAGGGTTTCTAGGCTTTAGAGGCGTGTTTAGCGTTTTCAGGGATTATGAGATGCTCTTTATAACCTTTACAGGCTTTGTAGGGTGGACAGGGATTACATGGTTTACATGGTTGCTTCTTTGAAATGTGTTTTGTTTGGGGGGGGGGGGGAATATGTAAAAATTATAAAATGTTTAGAACTGATTAACAAAAATAATATAAAACTAGGGGGTACAGTACCCCAAAATGGGCCATAATCAAACGAACTCACCACGCATGGCTTACACGTACAGGGCGCACCTAGGGTTTGTAGCGTGTTTCTTTTGGCAGCCGGGTAAATGAAGAAGCCCTAAACCCTAAGCCCTAAACCCTAAACCCTAAACCCTAAACCCTAAACCCTAAACCCTAAACCCTAAACCCTAAACCCTAAACCCTGGGCAGGGCATTCAGTAGTTAGGTTTTAGGGTTTCGGGCCTGGGGCCTCAGCCACACCTTGTCACATGTCATCTCCAAGCCCGAAACCCCAAACCTAAACCCTAGGGTTTAGGGTTTAGAGTTTAGGGTTTAGGGTTTAGGGTTTCGGGTTTAGGGCTTGGGGCAAACCCCAAAACCCCAAACCCCTAGATGGAACTCTTGGGCCAATGAGGAGGCCGCTTCTCGTCGCATACGCCCGGCGCCTGCAAACAGCCCCGACGCTCTCCGTGTGTAGGTTTTGGGGTTTAGGGTTTTAGGGTGTTCAGGGTGTTTAGGGTTGTTTTGTGGGGTTTTAGGGCTTTTAGGGTTTTTAGGCTTTTTAGGGTTTTGAGGGCCTTTAGGGTTTTTAGGGCTTTAGGGTTTAGGGGTTTAGGGGTTCAGGGGGGGGTTTAGGGGTTTAGGGGTTGAAGCGTTTAGGGGTTTAGCCCATTAGCAGGTTGCAAATCCCGTACTACAGGGTATACGCTGACCAAACTAGGAATGTTCTAGAGGCTTTCGTGTGCGGGCCCCCCAAAGGGCGCCAATTTTTGCTTTCAAGGGGCCTTTTAAGGGATCGTGCCCTGCAAAGATAACAACACCCCAAGCCCGAAGCCCTACACCCGTTGCTTAAAGGGGCTTCTAAGGGGATCCTGCTCCTAAAAAAAGGGGAACAAGGGATCTGCTGGGCAATGCCGGCCGAAGCCTTAAAATCCTGAGCCCGTTGCAGGACCCTCCAAACGCCCCGCAGCGAACCCCAAAAAGAACCTAAACCCCAACTGGAGCCCTAAATTTTAAGCCCTAGCCCTAAACCCTAAACCCTAAACCCCAAACCCGAGAAGTCGGGATGCTCCCCCTTATACTGACAGAAGCCCTAAGCCCTTAACCCCTAGCCCTAAACCCTAGAACTTGGGATGTTCTTTAAAACCCTAAACCCTAAACCCTAAACCCTCAACCCTAAACCCTAAACCTTATAAACCCTAAACCCTAAACCCTAAGCCCTAAATCCTAAACCCTAAACCCTAAACCCTAAACCCTGAACCCTAAACCCTAAACCCTAAACCCTGAACCCTAACCCTAAACCCTAAACCCTGAACCCTAAACCCTAAACCCTAAACCCTAAACCCTAAACCCTAAACACGCCCAACCAAGGCCTTGAGACGCGCGCTCAATTCATTTGAGCTGATGGCGGCGCCTTCTCTGTGACTTCGAGGGTGGGGAGGCGAGATAAGGGTTAACCCTAAACCCTAAACCCTAAACCCTAAACCCTAAACCCTAAACCTTAAACCCTAAGCCCTAAGCCCTAAACCCTAAAGGACCCAAAACCCTACTAAGGATGTGTTTGTCGGGTTTGCAGGTTGGGAAGCCAGGACGAAGCGGAAACCCGGCAATGACTGGCCAGTTCTGAGCTGAGAGGAAAATTGGGATGTCGGCGCTTGAGCCCTAAAGCCCGAAAGCCCTGAGCTCTCTAGGCGGGCAAAAAAAGGTGGAACTTGGCTTTTAAGGGGATTCGAGAGCAAAGACCATTTTCCAGGGGTGGTGGGTGGAAGAGAAGGCCAACCTCAGGGAATCCGATTATTTGGGGTTCTATATTGGGGGGTCCCTTGTTTTCGTACAGCTCCTTATCGCGCAGGGCATGGATGTCACGAGTCCCTTATGTTCGTAAAGCCCCTAAACCCTAAACCCTAAACCCTAAGCCCCTTATCGCGCAGGGCGTGGATGCTGTGGCAGTGGGCTCGCTGGAAACACGGACGTTCTTATCGTCGGGCATGTCTCGTTGCTCTGGGCAAATGGACGTACTGGTACCATGGACATCCGTGTAGTGCGGGCATGGATGCTCTGGGCAAGAAAATGGGGACTCTGGGCAATGCCAATGCAACTGCGCCTCTGCTAAACCCTAAACCCTAAACGCTAAACCCTCCACCCTAAACCCTCAACCTCAAACCCTAAACCCTCAATCCAAAACAGTCCCTTAAGCCCAATAAGGTACCCCTGATTTCGGAAACCCCCCCATAAGAGCGTCCGTATTGCCCGTGCGTCATTCCCTTCTTGACGCACTGCACGTACTTCGGGGTTTTGGATGGGCTTAGGATCGAAGATCTTGTTTTTCTTAATAACCGCACTGGAAAGCCCGCGCGAAACCTAGGTAAAATCCGCAAACCACAAGAACTGTAAATTAGTGGAGGTTCCTTTCGAGGAAGTGGGCTTAGAGTTTAGGGATTCGGGTTGAGGCTTACTCTCGGAACCTAACTTAGGCCCTAAACCCGAAACCCGAAACCCGAAACCCTAAACCTTAACCCCAACCCTAACCCCTAAACCCTAACCCCTAACCCCTAACCCCTAAACCCTAAACCCTAAACCCCAAACCCTTAACCCTTAGTAAGGTCGCGCGGGGCCTGAGGCTGCCGGCACGGCAGGTGCCGCCACGACTGGCGCTGGCGGCGGACGAAGAGAGCCTCCGCTGCCTGCGACCTGGCTCCCGGACCCGAAACCCTACAAACTGGGTAGGCTAGGAGCTCCTTAGGGTTTAGGGTTTAGGGTTTAGGGTTTAGGGTTTAGGGTTTAGGGTTTGGGGTTTAGGGTTTGGGGTTTGGGGTTTAGGGTTTAGGGTTTGGGGTTTGGGGTTTGGGGTTTGGGGTTTAGGGTTTAGGGTTTAGGGCCTAACATAATGTAGTGCACACTTGTCGCGCCCGGGGTGGCGATTTTTCCTGGCCTTCAACCGCAGGATCCGCTTCAGCGCAAGTCGAGTCTTGCAGTCGAAGTCCTTCCTCGGTTTCGGGTTTAGGGTTTAGGGTTTCAGGTTTGGGGTTTGGGGTCTGGGGTTTAGGGGTTTCGGGTTGCATGCCGTCACTTCTCTCAATTAGGGGTCCCTTTTTGGGTTCCTCATTACAAGGCGGTCCCTCTCATTCAGGGCACTCCAAAAACGGACCATTATTTACTGACCACGTGTTCTCCTGCTCTTGTACTACCTTAACATCCCCCAACGTGAGGACCACGTGACCCTTAAGCCTGACTCAGATCCTTCAGCAAACCCTAAACCCTAAACCCTAAACCCTACAAGGCTCTGCAGTGAAAAGCATGCCCTTGCAACGGCCGGGTGCCCGAGCAGAGCTTTCCGCAGCGCTAGCACGTGCAGGCCTGGCGCGTGTCAAAGAGGGTGCTTCGGGTTTAGGGTTTAGGGTTTAGGGTTTAGGGTTTAGGGTTCAGGGTTTAGGGTTTAGGGTTTAGGGTTTAGGGATTTCGGGTACACCCCAAACCCTGCCTCTTGGGTTTAAGACTTCGCCGTTTAAGTGCAAATGGCTTTGGTGCAAGGTCCCTAAACCCTAAACCCTAAAAACCCTAAACCGTAAACCCTAAACCCTCAACCCTCAACCCTCAACCCTAAACCCTAAACCTGCAAGGTCCCTTTGCGTGGTGGTGTTCTGCAACGCTGCCGCCGCAGGAGTTGTAGCTAAGACCTCAAGCCGTTAAAAGCACGTCGAACCTTGGAGAAGCCCTAAGCTCCGTAAACCCTAGAAACCCGAAACCCGAAACCCTAAACCCTAAACCCTAAACCCTAAACCCTAAACCCTAAACCCCAAACCCGACTGAACACAACCCTCGGCCAAATCATCGCCCAGCTTCGAACCAAAGCGACAACTCCTAAAGTCATTGCCCGGGGTTACCCTAAACCCTAAACCCTCAACCCTCAACCCTAAACCCTACGGGGTGAGTGTCTTTGGGGCTCAGTGTCAGGAAATTTGAGGCTTTTAAGCTTCGGTTGTAGGGTTTACTACGATTGGCTATTTGCTTAAGAACCCCCGAAAACGCTACAAAAACAATCATCCCAAAATTGCCCTTATAAGGAAGAATATCTTCCTTTCCTTTCTTTTTCTTTTTTTTTTTTTTTGGGGGGGGGGGGGGGGGGGGGGAGGATGGGTTCTTAAGCAAATCATAGTGTAGGAATTTAGGAACCGAAATCGGAGGCTGCCCTAAAGCCTGAACCCCAAACCCTAAACCCTAAATCCCTAACCCGAAACTACTATTTGCTGAAGACTAAATGAATCTTAAACAGGAAGAATATGTTTTCTTTTTTGGGGGGTTCTTAAGCACACCCTAAACCCTAAACCCTAAACCCTAAACCCTAAACCCGAAACCCCGCAGCTTCTTGGGGCAGGGCTACACAGGCTCTCGTCAAGGTGCTCCTGTCGGCATCTTCCCGGCGTTGTGGGGGCTTGGGGCTTAGGGCTTAGGGCTTAGAGTTTAGGGTTTAGGGTTCAGGGTTTAGGGTTTAGGGTTTAGGGTGTAGGGTTTAGAGTAGGGTGTAGGGTGTAGGGTTTGGGGTTTGGGGTTTGGGGTTTGGGGTTTGGGGTTTGGGGTTTGGGGTTTGGGGTTTGGGGTTTGGGGTTTGGGGTTGAGGGTTTAGGGTTTAGGGTTTAGGCTTTAGGGTTGATGGCTTAGGGTTCCCGAAACCCCTAACTCTAAACCCGTGGGTACCCCGTATTCTTGCAGGTGCGTTGAGGATCAGGGCAGAGGAGGAACTGGGAGGCGTAGCCAAGGCTTTGGGCTCTTTGGGTTTACGGGCTTAAGGCTTAGGAGTTGACAGGTTTGGGGGCTTTGGAGTTTAGGGTTTAGGGCTTAGGGGTTTAGGGTTGGGGTTGTTGTAGGTGCGCAGGAACATAAGGGACCCAGACCCCTCAAACAGCAGGATCCCCTTGTAATCAGGGCCCCAAAAAGGTACCCCCCATCTCGGAAACCCCCAATATCCCTAAACCCTAACCCTAAACCCTAAACCCTAAACCCAAAAAGGAGCGCCTCTTTGTCGCATGCGCCCGAAGATTGGCCAAGTGCCAGGCTCGGGCTAAGCTAAGGCCGGGAATTGACGGGGAGAGGCCCTGAACCCGGCCTGGAAGGTTTAGGGTTTGCGGTTTAGGGTTTCGGGTTTAGGGTTGAGGGTTTAGGGTTTAGGGTTTAGGGTGTAGGGTTTAGGGTTTAGGGTTTAGGGTTTAGGGTTTAGGGTTTTGGGTTTTGGGTTTTGGGTGTAGGGGTAGGGTTTAGGGTAGGGTCTGGGGGGGTACCCTTCCAACCAGGATTCGTGACAAGGAGGTCCCCCAGAAGGGACCTCGCGGCCGTAGGGTGAAACAATCTAAGGTTGGGACCATGAGCCCCTAGTAGGGTTTAGGGTTTAGGTTTAGGGTTTCGGGTTTAGGGTTTGGGGTTTCGGGTTTGGGGTTTAGGGTTTAGGGTTTCGGATTTAGGGTTTGTATGGTCCCTTACCCTTGTTTATGGGGATCCGAAGTATGTGCCCTTGTTAAAGAGAGTGTTTGTAAGGGTTACATAACAAGGGACCGAGCTAAGGGCCCATACTTCCGATCCCCCTAAACAATATCTGGGCCTCACGCGATGTTCGGCGCACTTCTGCTGGTGCGCAATGCTCCTGAAGCCCGCGACGGACTTATGTTTCCGATGTCGCACTCGGGCGCGAAGGTACCTTGGCTGGTTTTAGGGTTTAGGGTTTGGGGTTTAGGGTTTAGGGTTTGAGGGGTTTGAGGGGTTTGAGGGGTTTGAGGGGTTTGAGGGGTTTGAGGGGTTTGAGGGGTTTGAGGGGTTTGAGGGGTTTGAGGGGTTTGAGGGGTTTGAGGGGTTTGAGGGGTTTGAGGGGTTTGAGGGGTTTGAGGGGTTTGAGGGGTTTGAGGGTTTGAGGGGTTTATGGGGTTTATGGGGTTTATGGGGTTTATGGGGTTTATAACTTACAGGGTTCATAGTTCCGAGTTGGGTATCTATGAAAAGGTGCTCAGGGACGCTAGACCCTAAACCCTAAACCCTCTCTATCATATACATATATACTTTTCGGTCAATCTGACCCCAATGTGTCACACCAGCTGTGGTTTTGTGAGAGTAATGGTTCTAGGGTGGGTTGGGGGAAGTTCGAAGTCGTCGGACCTAACGAACGCGGCGGCACTGCAAGGAGAGCCGCGCTAACACAAAAAGCATGACACATTTTTCGCGGAATATGTGTCACCAGATTTCTGTTAGCACCAAAAACATGACATTTTTGTCCGCGGAATATGTGTCAATAGAGCCGTGCTAACACAAAAAAACATGACACATTTTCCACGGGATATGTGTCACCTGCATCCTCTTTTTTTTTTGAAACTGACCCTGAAACCCCCCTGGACATCTGGGACACCCTGGGACCCTCGAGGACGCCCTGGGACCCCGCTGGGACGCTGGGACCCTCCCCCCCTCCACCCCCCCCTCCCCCTCCCCCCCTCCCTCCCACCCCCCCTCTTCTTCCAAGGGTTTCGATGGCTCAGGCTTGGGTCTTCAAAGGTTTGAAGGCATCAAGATGACCCCAATGTTCGTGACTTTTCGGCCAACCTGACCCCAATGAAGAAGGTTCAGTGGAAAACGTGTCCGAATTGGGTAGGTCCTCTGGGGTAAGATGAAAACCTTTTATTTTCTTAATGTTCTGGGATTCTTTGGGCGGGTGGGTTTTTTCTAAGCCTGGAATGAATGCTAGAACAGTGACCCTCTAGACCCTAAACCCTAAACCCTAAACCCTACAACCCTAAACCCTAGACCCTCTAACCCTAACCCTACAAGCCTGAACCCTGGTAGGGACCCTAAATCAGGACAGCCCCTAAACCGTAAACCCTACACCCTAAACCCGAACCCCCAAAACCCTAAACCCTAAACCCTAAACCCTAAACCCTAAACCCTAAACCCTAAACCCTAAACCCTAAACCCTAAACCCTAAATCAGGACAGCCCCTGCGCTCTTGAGTCTGCCGGCAAAGCCTTTTGGGCGGGTTCCACCCCATTTGCCCCGTTACAACGGCCGACATGACAAGGTTTAGGGTTTAGGGTTTAGGGTTTAGGGTTTAGGGTTTAGGGTTTAGGGTTTAGGGTTTAGGGTTTAGGGTTTAGGGTTTAGGGTTTAGGGGTTTGGGTTTAGGGTTTTGGGTTTAGGGTTTAGGGTTTAGGGTTTAGGGTTTAGGGTTTAGGGTTTAGGGTTTAGGGTTTGGGGTTTAGGGTTTAGGGGTAACCAGAAGTTAATGAGAGGACTTGCTTTGGGTACTATAGGGGGTCCGGGCTGATAGATTTAGGGGCCTAGAGAATGGGTGTTTTGGGTGTTTGTGATATTGTTCTATTGGGTAAGATGGGGCAAAAAGAGCGATTTGGGGCGTCCTAGTGTTGCCTCGAATTAAACCCTAAACCCTAAACCCTAAACCCTAAACTTCCGAGCACGCGTGGCAAAACCAACCATGAACTGTGCCCAGCCACGGAAGAAGTTCACGAGCCTTGGGCGTGCAGCATGGGCGGGTTTACGATTTAGGGTTTAGGGTTCAGGGTTTAGGGCTTAGGGCTTAGGGCTTAGGACCCTAAACTCTAAACACTAACACCCTGTTTTCGGTCTGCGGAACGTCAGAAGTGGTTTAGGGTTTAGGGCTTGCCTTGCAGGGTATAGCGTTTAGGGTTTAGGGTTTAGGGTTTATAGGGTTTAGGGCTTACAGAGGGTTTAGGGTTTAGGGGTTAAGGTCAAACCCGAACTAAATCCCACAAAGCCCTGACCAGGTCGTGCAACGGGTCATCATGGATCAGGGCTGCGGTCGAGTCCTCTGCTTCTTCTGCCAAGCCCTGCCAGCAACAAGAGAGCTTAATATAGGGGCCTTAATCATTTGAACAGGGTGTTGGGGGTTAGTATGGTATAATAACAAAGGGGCCATAAGGGAAGAGCATTAGTGATGATTCCGACCCCTACAATCGGCGCATAGGGTTGTAGGGCTTAAGCGCGTTAGTTAAGGGGTTTAGGATTTAAAGGGAGGGGGTTTCATTTTTGCTCCCGGCTGAGTTCCTGAGAGTTTAAGTCCGCGACCCCCTGTTGATTAAGGTTTAGGGTTGAGGGTTACCCTTGGCCAGACTCCAGGTTCAGATTCCTACAACTTCTGAAGCCGAGCTTTACACAAAAAGGTTTTAGGGTTTAGGGTTTAGGGTTTAGGGTTTAGGGTTTAGGGTTTAGGGTTTAGGGTTCGAAACAAGGCCCCAAACAACTTTCGAGGGGAGTAGCCCACGAGCTGCCCTCGGGCACTTTAGGATATTGTTTGGGTCGTCCGGATTAATCCGCAGCGACTTCGTCCAAGGCCCGAAACCCTAAACACTGAACCCGAAACCCCTCAATCCCCCCAAGGCTATGCTCCTCAACCCTCGACCCCCTCAGCCTCTCAGCCCCTCCACGCAACCCCCCAACCCCCAGCCCCCCAAGCCCTTTCACATTATTGCGGGCGCTGCAAAAAGAACAATCGAGAACAACATTAAGGGCCTAAAAGGGCTTAAGGACCCAGAGGTTTAGGGCTCAATGGGCTTAAAGGGCTCAAAGGGCTTCAAAGCGCTTAAACGGGCGTAAAAAGTGTCTCGACCGTGAAAAAAGGGGCTTAAACGGGCTCAACAGGGCTTAAAAAGGGCTTGCTGAAAATGGCTTAAACTCTCCTCTCCCCTCTCCCCTCTGTTCAAGGGCTTCAAGGGTTCAAGGGGATCCAGGGGTAAACCCTAAATCCTAAACCCTAAACCCTAAACCCTAAACCCTAAACCCTAAACCCTAAACCCTAAACCCTAAACCCTGCGGAGGCCTCCTCCTTGGGCCGCCGCGTGCGGAAGAGGAAGAGCGTGTGCAGGTAGTTGAGGCCCGGGATGCAGGCCAGCGCCAGGCACACGAGCCCGATGGCAAGCCCGAGGACCTGAGGGTTTAGGGTTTAGGGTTTAAGGTTTAGGGTTTAGGGTTTGAGGGGTTGAGGGCTTGAGGGGTTGAGGGGTTGAGGGGTTGAGGGGTTGAGGGGTTGAGGGGTTGAGGGGTTGAGGGGTTGAGGGGTTGAGGGGTTGAGGGGTTGAGGGGTTGAGGGGTTGAGGGGTTGAGGGGTTGAGGGGTGAGGGGTTGAGGGGTTGAGGGGTTGAGGGGAGGGTTGAGGGGGGGTTGAGGGGTTGAGGGGTTGAGGGGTTGAGGGGTTGAGGGGTTGAGGGGTTGAGGGGTTGAGGGGTTGAGGGGTTGAGGGGTTGAGGGTCTTAAGGGTTTAGGGTTTAAGGTTTAGGGTTTGGGTCTTGGGTTTGCTGTAATATGGCGCAGAAGCTGTGAAGGACTGGCTTCGAAACACTTCGGGAACGCGAAGAGCAGCCAGCCCGACAGTGGAGGGCCATCGAACACTTTTATC